GGAAAGGATTCACGACCACCAACAGTATACCATTACCGAAGATACACAGGGAAGGCGAGCCACTAAGGCTAATAGTCAACAATAACTATGGGGCAACACACAAATTGGCAAAATTTATATGTTTGAAACTCAAGAAATCAAACGAGAGACTATCAAACATGGTCAAACATTCATATGAGTTTACTCAAAAGATCAAAAACATGGCACTGGAAGAAACGGACTTATTGATAAGTTTCGATCTAGAATCCATGTATACAAATATCTATGGAGAGAATGCACTAATGGCCCTACTGAAAATTCTTGACCGAGAGGATGATATCCTGGAATCACAACAAATCGGTAGGAAGTCGTTAACAAGACTACTCAACTTGACAATAAGGACAAACTATTTTACATTCAACGGGAACATCTATGAACAAATATTTGGACTTCCCATTTGATCACCGCTCTCACCACTTTTGGCAAACGTATACATGAACAAAATATAAGAGAGCTTCAAGATGGCACCGATAAAACCGACAGTGCTCATGCGGTACCTGAATGATTACTTCGCACTTTGGCCATATGGAAGAGAAAAACTAGATGAATTTCTACAATTTGTAAACCAGATTGATGGAAAAATTCAATTCGCAATAGAAGTAGAGGAAGGTGAGCGGTTACCGTTCCTGGAAGTCTAAGCAATTCGTTCTAATGGAACGCTGAAAAAGAAATTGTTCCGAAAGAAGTCCTATGCTGGGATAATACTCAATTTCCGGTCCCATCACAATTACAGGCTAAAGATTGGACTAATGAGGAGCATGATCATTAGAAGCCTACGCCTGACGGATGCAGAATTCTAGGATGAAAAGCTGGAGAAATTGACTAGGATCTTCCTCGGTAATGGCTACCCAAGCGAAGTGATACAAAGAAGCATACGGACCATAATAAGCCGATGCCAGAACGGGGACTATGAAAGGACAGTAAGGACGATGAAGGATTCAAAAAAGTGAATATGCCTGCCTTCCTGCTAACTAACTCAAAAACTACGGCCTATATTAAGTAAATGGAATATTCAGGTGGTCATGAAGAAGAAATCAACACTTTTCACAAGTCTACCAACGCAACATAAAAGGGTAGACAAATTGGACTGTCATTCGGCGGCTGCGAACAGAAATATATTGGCAAAACAGGGAGAAAAATTAGCACACGAATCAAGGAACATCAGAGGCTC